AATATATAAATCTCAAAGTAATATCAAATGCTGGTGCCAAGAAGCAGAAATCTGTGAGGTATGGCTGAAATTCACTACCACAATGCACCAACTTGGGTGGATTTAAAAGAGGATTAGACAAATTCATCCAGGATACTAATGACTACTAGTCATGATGTACTGCAGCAGCAATTCATTGTGCACTGAGGCTCTGCCCTCTGCAGGCCACTGAAGTTCTGCAATCAAAACATCTACTGGAAACTGCTCAGTGCATTCTGCGTTTCAAGACTTCACCAGGCATTGCTCATACCATATTAAAAGGGCCTGTAAAGTGTCGTCCCTTAAAATGTTTCATAAGGTATCAAGTGCCGTTAAATACTAGGTTTTGTCCTTGCACAGTGAACCTGTGAATGGTAAAAACCACCACCACCACCACCACCACCACGTTACTGCAGCTTGATCAAATCTTATCGTAATTATTCCTAAATCTGTTTGAGCTGATACGGAGAACTTTTGAGCCTCGGGTGGAGGACAGGTAGACAGGCAAAAGAGCATTGATGGCTTTTCAGCGCTCGGAAGACTGTTTTGTTCTTCCAGGCCTTTAACATCACTTTAATATTTTTGACATCTTTAATATCTTTTAAATATTTAGCTTAATATTTTGGTCTCTGCTTTTATGGAGGTTGGGATATGTTTGCTCCCTTTGGTTATTTTACAGAGCAAGCCAAATGCCTGATCCACTGTGAAGGGCAATTTGGATGGGGTCTGGAGGGGTTCCTCTGCCCTGCCCAGCTGTAGCCAGCAAGGAATGTCACTGCTGCGGCCAACACCCAGCCGGAAAGCAAAGTAATTTCCCAAGACTTGGGCTCTAATTGGCTCCCTTGAACCCAGCTTATGGGCCAGGAGGTAATGCCCCTATGGTTGCGATGGCTGAGTGGAATTCCCAATTGGCAGCCAACCATGTGGGTCCGGTTGACCGGGAAGGAGGCGGAGAGCGAGGGTATGCAGCCGGCGCCCACCGGGGAAGTGGTGAGTGTTTAGTTCCTAGTCCTCCGGCTGAAAGCATATTGTTTCAAACGATGCATGGTTAAGCTTAATCACAACTTGTCAGGTTGAGACGAAATGCAAGCTGCAGCGAATTGAAAATGAAAGTGAAAGCTTCCAAACTGCTCCTCCCAACTGCACTGCTGTGTGAGCCAAGGCTGACACTGGCTCCTTTTCTTCATGATAAATGATAAGATGGATTTGTTTAAAACAAACAAACATCAATAAAACAATCTATTTCTGCATCACTTCTGAAAACAACCTAAAGCTTGTTCCTACATACTGTATAAAGCAGATGCTATATCTACCTATAAAGGCTTCCAAGCTGTTAAACTGACATGATAGTGCTTATGGGTTTCCATTCTTCTTCTTCCCATTATTCTACTGCACTTTAGAAATACTATTTATACCTATTAGAAATACTATTTCCCCCAAATATTTTATTCTTTAAAGGTCCTCTTAGTCAGCAACATTGAGTAGGCTCATGGTGTCTGGGGCACACTTGGGGGGGGGAGGCACATACAACTGGGGGGGTGGGGTGCGCACAGGGTGAAGGAGCCCATTGCAGCACCTCAGCTCCCGCCACTGACATTGCTGGAGTGACACTGCCCCACACCGGAGCAAAGCAGGGCTCCGCTGCACCTCCTGCCTGCCCATACAGGGGGAACCCGGTCAGCTGACGTGGCACTAGCCATGAACCAGGTGCTCCCACAACAGCACCTCCAGTGAGGCCTAGCCAGATGCTCCTCTCTGTGAGCGTTGGTTCCCCATTACGCCTGCCTGGGGGTGCCAGCTTTGCGCCCCTTCAAAAGTCCACGCCCAGGGCCGGGGGCCCCTCTGACACTCCCCCACTACGCCCCTTCTCTTAGTACACTTCTTTAATAAATAATTTTCAAGAAAATCACATCTTCTGAGGTTTGCATTTAGCATGGACTTTTATTTGTTATTCCATGAGGCATACATTGCCTTTCCAGTTTTCCTCAGGTGCTAAGAAGTGTTGTTGATGAAGAAACAGTCCCACAGTCCAAACTTCTATGGCTACTGCTGTCTATTCAGCTGAATACATAAATGGTTGTTGCACATGGTAGAGAGGACATCGGGCTACCACAGTTAATATTACTCTGTGGCCAGAACTTTCGACACAACACATGTCAACATGCATGCATACAAAGATACAAACCAGACATGCTTCTGCAGGCATCAGCTAAAAAACCCAAAAGGACACACTTTGGTTTGTGCAGCATCAAAACTGAGCGTGAGGTTTCCATTCCGAATACAGTTTTGTTGCCACGTAAACCAGCGTTCTTTTGTTTTCAGAAGATGACCGATTAGGAAGACTTTTGGTGTTGGCAAGATGACAATGCAAAAAAGGCTTTCATAACTGACTGCAGAAGTAGAACGGGTACCTCAAGGCTCTAAGATGGCATTTGAAACACAGAGCAGAAACAGTGCTCCAGGCTATATGAATTACTTTAACAAGTACATTATGCATTATTAAATAAACATAAATTGACAGTTAACTGGAGTAATAACTTGATTCAGAAGATAAATGGGGAGTGGGGGGGGGGCAGAAGAGAATATGAGAACAGATAGGCTTGGTGTTTTAAATGTAACCAGCCCTGGAATCTGCTGCTGAAGGATGGGTAAAGGTAAAGGTACCCCTGACCGTTAAGTCCAGTCACATACGACTCTGGGGTTGCGGCGCTCATCTTGCTTTACTGGCCGAGGGAACTGGCGTTTGTCCACAGACAGCTTCCGGGTCATGTGGCCTGCATGACTAAGCCGCTTCTGGCGAACCAGAGCAGTGCACGGAAATGCTGTTTACCTTCCCGCCGGAGCGGTACCTATTTATCTTGCACTTTGATGTGCTTTTGAACTGCTAGGTTAGCAGGAGCAGGGACCGAGCAACGGGAGCTCACACTGTTGCGGGGATTCGAACCGCCAACCTTCTGATCGGCAAGCCCTAGGCTCTGTGGTTTAGACCACAATGCCACCGGCGTCCCTGAAGGATGAGTAGCAAATCCAATATTATAATAATAATAATAATAATAATAATAATAGCCAACTACCAAACTAAGTAACTATGAATATATCTACACTCATCCATTCTATTCTTGTGTATGTTTTTCTTTGCATTTCTTCTCCTCTGTCAACTGCTTTGACCCCAGAAATGGTATTATTTATTCATTATTATATTTATATCCAGGAGCAACTCACCTAGTGGGGCGGAGCCACAGCAGTACTCTGTTGGCAGCCCAACTGTGCATTTGCACAGCCCCAACCTCACTGCTGTTACCTTGCTTCTCCCAGGAGGTGGCAGTGATGCTGCTGCTGCTGCTGGGAAGCTCACTGTGGCTCTGACCGACCAGGAGAGCCACTCCCAAACCCAGGTTCATGGTTTGTCTCCTCCAGACAAACCATGATCTATAAACCAGAGAACTAACTTTGCTTTGTCCAGAGCTGCACATGCCACAAGTCCCTGAGTCAAACCATGGCTTAGCTCACTGCAGCAAAAGCAGCAGGACTAGGGGAGGAACTCAGTGGTGACAATATTTTCTTTGGGGACCTGCATGTTCACTCTGAACCATAATTTGACTTAGTGTTATCTGCAAACCATCTCATAGCCTATTACAAGCTGCATAGGTGAATTATTAAATTGAAAGGTGGGGAATAAATACTACAAACAATAGATATCGTCCAGATATCATCTGCCCCACCCCCCCACCCCACAGCTTAAGGGGTCAATTTAAAATAGAGGGGGACTTTTTTTTGCTTGGTTTTTTTTAAACAACAACAACAACATTGCAATGCAGAAAAAAGGGAGGCTTCAAAACAAATTATTTGCAAAAGCTGCAAAAGCACTCCAGTTTTCTATTATTACGCCTAAGGCATTCTGAATGTAAGAACTCTTCTGTTGGAGGCGATACTCAATTCCTGAATTTTGTTTTAGGGAACGAGACAACTTTTTTATTGAAAAGTCATCCTGACAGGATAGCAGAGAGATTATTTGTCACTGAAGGAGCATTCATTCTCATTTGTTGTTAGGGAGGTGAGATGGCATTGTGTCAAAGCAATTATTACCCCCACACTTGCCAGTGCATTTTCCTGTCACTTTCCTTACACAAAATGTTTTGGGGAGGAAGCGGAAGTTTTGTGGCACGAGAGGGCCAAACCAACCTTAATTGAGCAACCTGAATTTGCCAGCATGTGACTGAATCCCACCTGAAAATAGCAACCATCTTAATTGCCACAAGCTGTTTGCTTCCCCTGCCAGCAGCTGTAGATAGCATGAGAGCAGTGGACATTAGTTGCCTGTGTTCCCTGCTGGTTTAGGGGAGCACAGCTTAAAAAAAATAATCCAGAATTCTCCAGCATGCTTGAGATCTCCCATGTCTGTAGGGATTCCCTCCTGCTCTGTCTTTTCCCCAGTTTGTTACCCTACACCAGGGGTCGGCAACCTAAGGTCCACGAGCCACAAGCGACCCACGGGGGTCATTTAACCGGCCCCTGAGCCGCCCCCGAACAGAGCTACCCGCTCAGCGAGTCCCCGTGTGCTGTGCTAAACCGGCACAGCGCAGTGAAGGGACTTGCTTCCGCAGCGCCGGAAATCGCATCTGCGTAGATGCTGGAAATCAGGCACGAGATCCGGTCCACAGAGGGATCTCCGCTGGATTGAACCGCCCCATTTGAGGTAAACCTTGCCGACCCCTGCCCTACACTTCCATAGTATGACTACCACTTCACTAACAGCGGCAATGAGGAAACAGCAGTAAAAGCTTATGCAGATATGGATGACAAATAATCTGGAAAGTCAATTTCCAGACATCAAGATGCTGCCCAAGTGATAAGTGATCATATCAGGAGACTTCAGCTTAAGATGAAATCAGCCAAACCAAAGAATGTGTCAGAGCAGTAGGTCTTTTTTATTAATACAAAGAGGACAAAGCTCATTGGAATTCATGTATCTACATAAGATATCTTATCTTACTGCAATGTGGAAAAGAGAAGACGATAGGACACACCATTGTCTCTGCTAATACTGATTTAATGAAAAAGAGGGATTAGCAAACTCACTGAAGCATGGGCAGCATTCTAGAAATTTAGTATTATACAGCAATTGATACGAACAAAGCAAAAAGCATTCTAACCCTGAAATGCTAATGACATCTGCATGTTTACTTATCGCTGTAAGCGCTAGAGATAAAAAAAAGTTTGCTTATAGTGTATAGTGGTGATAATAAAAGTTATATGTGTAGGTCATACTTGATGCAACACAACACTGAAACCTAGTTATCACAAAAACTTAACCTAGATCTGTCTAAAACTTAACATAGAATTCTTAGTGTAGAACTGCCCTTGAACACTACAGTATTAGGAGACATTTTGAGAAGGTAGTTTGCTAGGAATACTTTACACCTGTGTTTCGGTATCTGCATTACTTACCTGGTGTCTGAACAGAACTTTGCTTTAACAGGACAAACAGCAGCTGAGGAGAGAATTAACTCTCCTCCCCCAAACAGTAGCCCCAATCTAGATTAGAGTTCCCATTGACTGCTTTTTAGGCAAGTTTAAAGAGACAAAAGATCAAATCACCGATGTCCGACCTTTCAGGTAGTTTCGGCAGTTTCAGCCCTTTGTTTATTACACAGAAGAACCTATAAATGGAAATCTGGAATTGTGATTTCTGCTACAAAGCAAGGTAGTACTGAAAAGCAGCCAATGGGTTTGGCGTAGGAAGCCATTTTGGAATCCACCGGACTTTGCTAGTCCTTCACACTGTTAACTGGGAATGATTTGCTATCATTGTGGAAAAGAGAATGGTTGGCACTATTTCTCCGCAAATAAATGAGGCAAAGGTCAGGATAGTTATGCACCAAGTTCTATTTTGTCACAAAACAAGGTATCTTCTATTCTAAACCATTTCATTGACATTAAATAATTCTGACAAAAACAGCTGTGAGTCTTGTGTTTCTCATTTCACCCCACACCCACCATATTTAGAGTGAGCCAGCAGGCTTCACTGTAAAGAAATTAAAAGTGGACTGTACTAATTAAATTCAATTACAGTCAAGCAAATGTTATGGTGGGGGGGACCATTTCTTGTGAATGGGGGGGGGCAGCTGCTTAGACTTTTAAAGCTCTACAGGACAAAACACAACTAAGATGACACCACATATCTAGACACTGGGCACCTGAGTTTGTGAAAAAGAAACATTCTGGATTTAAAGGGGTGCAAGAGGCAATAATGTACAATATGATTTTAACATCCATTTTCATGAGTGCAACCCTCAGCACTGAACTTCAAATCACTTTTAATCTCTTGAGCATAAAAAAGTAAACTTGATAGTTCAGCTAACAGAACTGCAGATGGGGAGATAAAATCCACAGAAATTTGGCACACGCAATCATGAAAATTGCACCCAAAGGTGTGCTGCTGCTGCTGTTTTTTTTTTAACAATTCAAGAGACTAATCCAGAGTTGCTGATTTGTGAATAGTCTAATCTGCTGCATTTTAGAAAAGACTATGAACATAGCATATATTTTTTCAGCTTTTATCCCAGAATATATTAGTTCTACCCCAAGACAGCTGTTATCTGTCCCCTACTAGGTCAATGCCATCGGAAACAGAAAAGCTATAGTAGTTATCCATAGTAAACTCTTTTCCCTCTTCAAATTATAGGTAACTGCAGCTTTCTGGAAGTAATCAAAGCTGTTATATTTCAAGGAATAAGGCATACTGCATCTACAAGATTGAAGACTCCCCAGAAATGCACTTAATCCTCAAAGCATTATACTAGGGAAAGCTTCAAGATAGTATAATAATTTAATACCTGAGGTTCTGAAAGCTTTCACACTACAAGTGATGATTCTTGACTGTATGAGCTGCCTTCCAGTGACTTGTATGTTCGTTTCAGTTGGTTTATGAGATAAGGCTACCAGATGTCCCTGTTTCCCAGGGACAGTCCCAAGGTTTATAAATCAGTTCCCTGACAAAATCCATCTATTTAGCAGGAAGTTGAAAAGTGTCCCCGGATTCACTGAAAAAAAATCTGGTAACCTTATTATGAGAGGAGAAAAAATGCAAGCCCTTCATTTCAAACTCAAAAAACCTATGGTATGTTGTCCACTGTTGTTCATCTTGTGCATGCATTTAATTACGTTTTTATCCTTCCCTTCTCCAAGGGGCTCAGGGCAGTGTACATTGTTCTCCTTCACAACTATCATGTGAAACAAGCCACAACAACCCTGTGAGGGGGGATAGGCAGATGGCATCTGGCCCAAGGTCACCTAGTGAATTCATGGCTGAGTAGGGATTTGAACCTGGCACAACCAAGACATACTTTGACAGTAATCATTACAGCTATAGCGTGTCTCAAGGTGACTCAAAATGCCATTTTAAAGTCCATTTTAAAAATGGAACTAATAAAACCAGTGCAAAAGTAAAAACAAAACAGAGCAAGACACATACAGTATGCACAAACACAAGCATACATGTGAATCTATAGCTGAAATGTACTTAAGAAAATATATTTAATACTCTAAATTATTCTCCCGAAGTTGTTGTACAGGCTGCATTCCCCCCCCCCAAAAATCTGGCTTGTATAAGCCTAAGTGTGGCCTAAAGTAAAGGTAGAGAAACTTTAATGTAAGATGAGGACTCAGAAACCATGCAGAACTTTGATATACTTTGGTTGTTTTTGTAAAAGCATCACCCATCATTCTTGACAGGTGGCACTAGTTGCCTGGTAAGTTATTCATCGTGTGAGGTAGCATGTGTTTTTAGACAGTAAAAATATGGGTGTCCATGTCAGGGGAAAACATCTATCAGTTGGGGGCTGAGACGTGACAAATTTCAAAATGGCAGTTATTAACTATGCTGAAGCGACAAACAATAGAGAAACAGGAAGGAAATATAGTGCTGATAAAAAGAATGTGCGTCATTGGAGATCAAAGAAGAAAAAATTCAGAATCCCATCTCCATGCAAAAAGCATTTCGAGGGCTTAAATGTGGTCGATGTTATGAGGTTGATGAGTGTGTACTTTCCATTGTAAAACAACAAAGAGAAAATGGAATGCCAATCAGCTGCAAAGCATTTGAATTGGTGCCGGGATATTTGTGCAAAGAAGTGGCTTCTTACTTAAATGTGGGACATCATTTGCTCAGTGGTTGTCTTCCAGTTTCAGTGAGAAGTTCGTCCAATACCAACAGCATGTCCTTGGCCTGAGGAGAAAAATGCAACCATTATCTTAGCCAAATTGGAAATGCTGACAAAACACCCATGTTCTCTGATATGCCAAGCAGCATGATCATGAAAAAGAAAGGAGTGGAATCTGTCCTTGTGAAGACCATGAAGAATAGGCGGGGAGGGGGGGGGGATGCACCTTATAGCAGTGTTAGCTGTAATAGTTGCATGCCACCCCAATCTCCAAGCGGTGTGATATTCCAGGGGTTACACAGGGTTTGTGTTTCCTTTGGAATGAGAGAGACTGTGGACAGAGACTTTGGACAGGAGAGGCTGTGGTGTCTTCACAGCATAAATACCCCAAGAGGGGACTCGCTTCCCCCATAGTCACAGCCATGAATCCCAACAGAAATCAAACATAGCTCTGTCTCCCAGCTGTGCAGCCTCCAGCCTGTTCCAGGAACTGAATCCATGCTTGATCCAGGAATTAGGCAGGGCCCAGGCATGCAGCCTACTCCCCCACCAACTCATCGCAATATGTTATACTGAGAGGAAAAATACTTCCAAAAGAAACACTCCCCGCCAGAACAGTTGTGGGGTGCCCAAAAAGAGGGTGGATAGCGACTATTGTGTAAAAGGGGGGGGGCAATGCTAGTGGTAGATGCATTTAGATGGCATCTTACCCCCAAAGTTAAGAAGATGGATAATCAGAATCAGATTTAGTAGTTGTTCCAGGTGGAACAGCACCACAGCTACAAGCCCTTGATGTGGTTGTGAATAAGATCTCCAAAGGAAGGACTCTGATTTGTTTCTGTCAGGAAATAATGCCGTCTCACCGAGCATAAAAATTAAAAAAACCATTGGTGGATTTGCTATGCCACTGGATTTTAACTGCGTGGGAAAGAATACCTCCTGAATCTGTGGCTTCAAAAAGTGCTGCCTTTTAATTGCAGCGGATAGTAGTGAAGGCGACATATTGTGTGGAAATTGGGAAGACAGTGACAACTAAAGTGACAAAGATGAAGAGAGCTGTAATAATTAAGATAATAATCTCTGTTTGGCATGAAAAAGTTTAACAGGAACATCAACATCTTTATCTTATTCAACATCTTTATCAACGACTTGGATGATGGACTCAAGGGCATCCTGATCAAATTTGCAGATGACACCAAACTGGGAGGGGTGGCTAACACCCCAGAGGACAGGATCACACTTCAAAACGACCTTGACAGATTAGAGAACTGGGCCAAAACAAACAAGATGAATTTTAACAGGGAGAAATGTAAAGTATTGCACTTGGGCAAAAAAAAATGAGAGGCACAAATACAAGATGGGGGACACCTGGCTTGAGAGCAGTACATGTGAAAAGGATCTAGGAGTCTTGGTTGACCACAAACTTGACATGAGCCAACAGTGTGACGCGGCAGCTAAAAAAGCCAATGCAATTCTGGGCTGCATCAATAGGAGTATAGCATCTAGATCAAGGGAAGTAATAGTGCCACTGTATTCTGCTCTGGTCAGACCTCACCTGGAGTACTGTGTCCAGTTCAGGGCACCACAGTTCAAGAAGGACACTGACAAACTGGAACGTGTCCAGAAGAGGGCAACCAAAATGGTCAAAGGCCTGGAAACGATGCCTTATGAGGAACGGCTAAGGGAGCTGGGCATGTTTAGCCTGGAGAAGAGGAGGTTAAGGGGTGATATGATAGCCATGTTCAAATATATAAAAGGATGTCACATAGAGGAGGGAGAAAGGTTGTTTTCTGCTGCTCCAGAGAAGCGGACACGGAGCAATGGATCCAAACTACAAGAAAGAAGATTCCACCTAAACATTAGGAAGAACTTCCTGACAGTAAGAGCTGTTCGACAGTGGAATTTGCTGCCAAGGAGTGTGGTGGAGTCTCCTTCTTTGGAGGTCTTTAAGCAGAGGCTTGACAACCATATGTCAGGAGTGCTCTGATGGTGTTTCCTGCTTGGCAGGGGGTTGGACTCGATGGCCCTTGTGGTCTCTTCCAACTCTATGATTCTATGATTCTATGAAATATTTTAAAAAATATTTTAAATTGTTTTTCAGTGCGCGCGCGCGCACACACACACACACACACACACACACACATATATATATATATATATATTTCTTTCAAAGAGCTCTCATATTTGGACCAATTAGGCTATGCATAGTTTAGTAATTATTGTTAGGAATTACAATGTAAGCCAAAAACTACCTATGAGAGGAATGAATATATGCTACCCGTGAAGCATATTGCTGAGATCATATTTGTTCTACTTGCTTTGTTTTTCTGCATGGTTAGTCAGCTTTTTTTGCAGAGTTGCCTCAGAAGACTAATCTGCTTTTATATTCGATGTATTAAGCCTGGTTTGTGCACATGATGAATTACTCATAAAATATTTACATATATTCACGCTTCGGTGGATGTTCTGGTTAACTTGCATTAGGACAACATACAAATCGAGGGAGCAAATCAGGCGTAAGTCCTCTATATGCTGTCACATCTAAGGAAGGCTTTATGCAGATGTTCGTGATGTGCACGTGGTCCAGAACTGTGATCAAACTGGTCCACCCAATCAGCCCATGATCTCACTTGATGATCACATGTTTGCACAGGAGCCTGCAATGAAATCAGTTGTGAAGAGTGAAGAGTTTTGGTGGGAACTCACAGCACAACCCTAACCATGTTTACTCAGAAGTTAAGTCCCACTAAATGCAATGGGGCTTCCTCCCAGTCCACATAAATAGCATTACAGCCTATGTGCAAACAATTTAATCTGCATCCAACCCACAGAGCCTGCATTGGTTACACGTGATCTACAAAACCAAAGTGTACCAATGGCGTGGATCTACCTTAGCTGGGCTCTGAACATGCTGGCCCCCATGTAAACATAATATATAATGTGCAAAATTGGGCAGGAACACAGGAAAGGCAGGATCCTGCTCTCCCATCAGTCGCAATGTCTTTATAGAGATAAAGTAGATCTTGCACTGATATCTTCACTCAGTAAAATCTGTTGAGAAACTTGTCCTAAATTACAAATTATGTATACAATCCAATCATTATTAAATTACCTGAAAGACTTAAGACTGCATACCAACATGCATTTATTTATAAGTCCTGTATGAACTCAATAGATTTATCTCCAAGAAAACATACACTGGAAGAACGATGCTCCATGCAACAATCTCCATTCCACACATAAATGTGCACTGAAAGAGTGGCGGCGGGGGGGGGGGGGGGAGAGTCATATACAGTACAAAAGAGTCAAGAAAACTTCTAAAACAACAACTAATCTGTACATTTTTACTTAGATTAAAGGTACCCTTGCCCCTACGGGTCAGTCTTGCCAGACTCTAGGGTTGTGCGCTCATCTCACTCTATAGGCCGGGAGCCAGCGCTGTCCGCAGACACTTCCGGGTCACGTGGCCAGCGTGACAAGCTGCATCTGGCAAGCCAGCGCAGCACACAGAACGCTGTTTACCTTCCCGCTGGTAAGCGGTCCCTATTTATCTACTTGCACCCGGGGGTGCTTTTGAACTGCTAGGTTGGCAGGCGCTGGGACCGAACGACGGGAGCGCACCCGCCCGCGGGGATTTGAACCGCCGACCATGCGATCGGCAAGTCCTAGGCGCTGAGGTTTTACCCACAGCGCCACCCGCGTCCCTTTACTTAGATTAGGCAATCCATTAAAAAAAAAAATCTGTTAGGAGTGCTAGGTGCTGGCTTTCCCCCCATTTTCTTCCTCTTTCCATGGAAAGGAGAACAGCATTCATCAAAGAAAAAGTTTGTGTATAATTTACTTTTCTTAACTTCTTTGTACAGGCCGCAGATTGTGGTTTTAGGGAAATAATAATAATAATAATAATAATAATAATAATAATAATAAATTTATTATTTGTACCCCGCCCATCTGGCTCGGCTTCCCCAGCCACTCTGGGCGGCTTCCCCAAAAAATATTAAAATCCTCTAATACATCAAACATTAAAAGCTTCCCTAAAAATGACGGTAAACCCTGAGAGCAGGGCCTGTCGCAGGCTGCAAAGGCCTCTGAATTGCTGTGGTTTGGGGTTTTAAATACAGTGGTACCTCAGGTTACAGACGCTTCAGGTTACAGAGTCCACTAACCCAGAAATAGTACCTCAGGTTAAGAACTTTGCTTCAGGATAAGAACAGAAATCGCACTGCGGTGGCGTGGCGGCAGTGGGAGGCCCCATTAGCTAAAGTGGTGCTTCAGGTTAAGAACAGTTTCAGGTTAAGAATGGACCTACCTCCAGAACGAATTAAGTTCTTAACCTGAGGTACCACTGTATAGACATCACTTTGCAAGTGTCATACCTGCACGCTCTGCGGACAACATCTGTACACACAGAGGATGTGTCCTCTGCAGGTAGTGTGCATTAAGTTTCCTTCCTACCTCCCCCTTTCAACACCCGCCATACTCCTTTCAAAAATATAAAATCATTCAAGTTTCTTGACATATCACAGGTACAGTTACTTATCTTGCACTCTACGTATGCCCAGAGGCTTCCTTCCCTTGTACCATGCAGGCAATTTCATGATGACGTTATCTCTTTTCTTTTGTCAAGGCACTCCCAAGTATGTTCAGAGGCTGCCTATTCTGGTGTGATGCATGGCTAATTACTGATTGCACCGTCTGTTTTATGGCATTCATTGTACGGGATACTGAGAATCTCTGTGTGCTGGCAACAGGCAGGCAGGGAACAACACACAAGTTTAATTTATGGAATCCAGAGAGTTGTTTTGTTTTTTAAAGGCACTTCAAGGTTTCAGAACATCTCCTATGTTATACCAATTAATTCCACTGCAGTCATTGATGGTTTTCTGTAAAGGCAATGCACCAAACTCATGTACCTCTGATCTAAAAACTGCCACCATAACAGATCATATGGTTCTTGGTGGGAAAAGCTTATTGCAATTATAACAGTAAGTTGGATCCAAGCTTTGGGATTTCAATAAATTGGAGGGGTTACTTTAAAAATCATAATAAATGCTACAGTGGAAGCCAGCCAGCCCCTTTCCCAACTGTGTTCGTGTACAGACAGAAAGAGTTAACGGTGAGGCTATTTTGTTTAAAAGAGCACAAACACTTAATGGAGGCTGTTTCTGCAAAAACATTAGTGATTCCTATGCAACTCTCAAAAAACAGAAATATCAGTATACTGGTGAGATACAAGGATATAATAAAGTAGAATATACTCTATTATTTTCAAGTTGGTGCAGAACACTAAATAGTGATCATTGCCAAATCAAGTGAAAACAGCCTGGTTTTCCTTGACCTTTTCTGATTCCCACCCCCCCAAAAATAATCATGGCCTGGGAACTGTAGTTTACCCCATAGATCTACAATTCCCAGCATCCTTCGCCAGCTAGTTCCCAGTATCCTTTAAGAGAAGCCATATGGTGTGAAATGCAACTACTGGCTGAGGAGCACAGAGAGAAGCCAAACCTCTGGCAATATATGACTACAGAATAATTTTAATTTTTTACTCAGAAAGCATTTTGTTGCCACTCTGCAGGCAGGGCCAGATTTAGGTTTGATGAGGCCCTAAGCTACTGAAGGTAATGGGACCTTTTATATGTCCAGCTGTCCTTTGTCAACAGCAAATTGTCGCTTTTTTGTGTTGAATATATGCTATATGGCAATTTATAGACCTAATAATAGGTATCTAAAGCCATTTGCACATAACAAAACATTTATTTAATCAAAGTAATTGTTGAACTGAAATACAATTAAGAAGAAGTATATTAATAGTGAAATACAATTAAGAAGTATATTAATAGTGAAATAATTATTAAGCTCTAACTTAAAATGATTTTTTATTCATAATAAACTTAATAATGCAAACACACTGGCATTTGGCAATAACAAAAGTTCCTTTAGAAACACAATTTACAAAGACTCATAATCTAGTCTCCAGAAACTTGCTATAACATGAAATAATAATAGGAGATATATGATGCAAGCTACTAATTAGAAATAGCTCTTTTAATATGGAATTAAGTGTTATAACCTGTACAATGCAATTGCAGTTAATACAAGCAGGCGGGCCCATTACTTACATCACAGGAGCCTACACAACACAAAACACTGTTGCTGTATGTAGGTTTTATTTTTTTATATTTTTTTATCTTATATTTTGGAAAAGTACATCCATTCCACCCCTTTAAATGTTTTTTGGGGGGCCCAAGAGAGTGGAGCCCTGAGCTTATACGTAAATCCGGCTCTGTCTGCAAGTATTGGCCAGCTGTCTTGACCAGGCCATTTCCACCTTGTGTTGCTTCCTGAGAATTTTTACCTTTTAACAACAACAACAACAACAACCCTCTTCCCCTTCTAGAAGAAGAAGAAAAAATCCCTCTACTGAGGGAAATTTCCTTCAGGCTCTAACATTTACCTACGGCTCTAACATTACCTTACGGTCAAAAAAATAAAATGGCTTCTGCTTCCAAATCCTACTTAATTTAAGACGACACGTTCCTGCCTGGTGTGAGGGAGGCTTCAAGATGGCTCAGAAGCCCCCTGTTGGCCTTTTTGACTAGTTAATAAAGAAAAAGAGCATGCTGGGGCCTAATTTTTATTCGTTCGCTGTGAGGAAATTCACCTACCCACTCCATTTGTGCTAAGGAGAAAAGGGGTGAGGTGGTGATATGAAGTTCTCTTTTCAAAAGACCGCAAAAGGTATATGCTCCGCTATTTCTCTCAGTAATACGAATCGGAACAAGGAGATTTCATTCGGTCATCCAGGGGACGGGATGGGAGAAGCGCCGCTCCTGTTCCCGTGTGCAAGAAGAGAAAAGGAGACTTTGGTCACCTTTTGCAAGATGGCGGACATTGGGCGCTCCAAAATGGATCTTCTGGGTTGTGGTTCTTCTCCATTTTGCACCCCTTCAGTTCTGCACCCATGTGGGCCCACAGCGCCCAATATCCGGCTCTGAGAAAAGGAGGCCGCAGCAGTGGAGATTGCAGCGTTGCGTGTTCTTTTAAAGAATTGTTTTGCTTTCCATATATATATATATAATTTTTGTTTATTTTCCATTTCATACTATACATTCACATCATCATTATCCACTATACTGCCATGGTTCTTAGAGCCTATCAACTTCCTTCCCTCCCACCTCACGGCTTTCGAAATTAACCTTTATATCTTTGCATTTTTTACGTTTTCTAATTCTAATTACACTCATGTCTCAAAATTTAAATAAATATAAAAAGATAGGAAATTTCTCATTACAAGTCTTTCTGAGTAAATTTATGCGATATCTGAAAGATTATTGTAAGCAATTAACATCACTATCAGAGCTGTCTGAAGATTTGGACTTGTTTTGTTTTGCTTTCAGGCAGCCAAACGTTTGACCAGAAAACATCATGTTTTCAGCCTTGAAGTACCATGCAATAGACTACTTACATGAGGTACAATGGCTAAAGCTTGGCATTTTTTGCTCTCTCGGTAGTATGATAGCTGCGTTTAAATATAAAGGCCACTTGTTAAGTCACAGAAAGCAAGTACCGGTATTTTGGACTGTTTCAATTCACTTTTATTTTATTTTGACAGCATGGATTTAAAAAGATAAAACAAAATCTGGCAAACAAATAACGTTTCATACTGTGAGGAATAAAAATGTTGCTTTTTCAAAAGGATGCAAGGTTGCAGCGGCTAGGTAACCGCAGACTTGCTTAACACTTATATTTAGAATGGCTTGTGGGTAGAACACTCATTAATAGGGCAGCTTGCAACTGAAATATGGCTTATTATTATTATTTATTGAATTTATATATTATCTGTATGGTTCAGCAAATGTAGAACTAAGTTACACCCACTAGTGGTTACGATGTGGCTTTATCGCTTGAGTCAAGGCATAAAAATAACACAATTATCTGAAAAAAACCAACAGTCTGAGGCAGTTTACTGATTTTTTTTATTTTTTTGCTAGATTCTTACGTGCACATAAAATCCATTTTTGCAAAAGGAATACATTTTTGTGGTTTAATATGTTTTACAATTTACTTAATTTGACTCTTAATGTGCACATAGTGGTGTTGATTGTAATAATTAATAATAATAATAATAATAATAATAATAATATGCTGCCCATATTGCCAAAACCACGCTCCATGGCTCCCAACAAAATATTAAAAACACAATAAAACATCAACCATTAAAAACTTCCTTGGCATAAGTGAATGGATTTGCCAGCAGCATCTGATGTGGTTTTTGAAAACTTTTCAAGCTGTTTTAACTTGTTTCATTTCTATTGCTTTATTACAGTGCCCCAGTATAGCATTTTGCAGTGTTTAATGATTTGAAATAAATAAAACAATCCAATTAAGGTTGAGAAATCCCTATAAAATTCAGTAGGAATGTTTAGCATGTGCTCAGGTCTC